CTCCCAATGGACTGCGGTTTTCACACTCCGTCCCGCTGCCTTGTGTGTCAGGCTTTGGCTAGCCAAAGGATCCGGTTGTGGATTCCTCAAGAAAATTCACCTGCCTTGGCCTGGGCAACCTGGCAGTATCCGGCCCAAAATGCTTCCAGCTGGTTGCGTCTCATTGGTAGTGCGAATGCATCCACCAACCTGGGGCTCGAACCATGGACCTCACAGGTAGAACGCAAGTATACTACGGATTCGATCAACGAGCAGTTGATCAGGGTGTTTTTCACTTTCTTCATACACCAAATAGCACAACCCATCTTTGCTAGCTGTTTGGGGTATCACACCCAGTTCATCTCAGCAACAGACTCCAAAGTTGTGACTCGGCCGGAAACATTGGGAGCCTGACTATACGGTATGTGAGAATAATGTAGAATTTGATTTGAATTCTTCTTAATATCTACTTTCCTACAAAGTGCGATTACCTACCCCCAATATTTAATCGAATCTTTCCTTCGTATCATGTAGTGAACAGTCAGGTTCCAACTGTTTCCAATAGAGCCCTGGAAGCTAGTGCTGAAATAACCTAGGTGTGGTGCTCAAAACAAGCTAGAAAGGATGGGTTGTGCTATATCGTGTATGAGGAAAATGAAAAACAGCCTAATCAACTGCTGGTTGATCGAATGCGTAGCATACTTGCGTTCTACCTGCGAGGTCCATGGTTCGAGCCCCAGGTTGGTCGATGCATTTGCACTACTAATGAGACGCAAACAGCTCGAAACAACTGTGCATTGCCTATAGCTTTTCAGGCCACGCTTCATTTGCTCTGTATATGACGAAATTTACTATAAAGTCAATAGCTAAATAGCGCTGTTCAGCCAAGGGAAGCTTATTCTAGAGAAATGGAAGACGATGACCTCAAACTTCTCTAGAAATTGTAACGAAAGCAAATACAAATAGCTCGTTATGTATAACACTTACCGTCCAGGGCTAAGGCACCAGTAACTAAGAGTACGATCCACTGTGGGTCGATGCGATCCACGGGAATCCCAAACACGATCCTCCGTCGCGCAATCTCGAGAATGGAGTGGCTCATCTTTTATGTACAGACGGAAGCAACGGGAAAAATCGGCTCCGGATTGAATGCCAAGAGGGAAGAGAAGTGACGACGAGAAGGAGCGTGTGCCTGTACTCTCGAAAACTGTCTGAAAAATAAAAACGGATCAAATGTTAACCCATATCGAGAGTAATTATTGAACATCGCTACGTGCAACTATGAAATAACTACATAAATTTCGGCTAGTGAATGCAATTTCAGCAGCAAAAATCCAATCCACTGAGAGTATGTACCTTTATAGTTCAAACTTCTGCAAACCTGATAAACCACGATCCCTAGGGTGATAATTGGGATAATGTCGTAGATGTGGCTCACCCAAATCAGCATCCCACAACTGCTTCGTGCAAGACAAACAAATGCTCGCTAAGGAACGCTTCGTTTGCCACAATACAGAGCGCTTTTCTTCGTCCGCCACTGGTAACCGAAAATTCTCATCTCTCTTTAGAATGGTTTTACTTATTTTCTTCCCTTTCAACTTTCCTACCATATACAATTCCTTCGCTTTATGGTTTGTGAACCCCAAGAAGAATGGGGATCTTCGCTTCCCAGCTCGCCTTCAACTCCACTTTACCTAACGACTCTATTCTTCAAACCCCCTCCTATTCATCTATCCACTTCTTTCACACTATCATAACAACCAAAGGGATGCCCAAACTCTTAGTGGTTTGAATGTTTGCGAACCACCCGATCCGGACGGTGCTCCACCCATCATCCTGAAAATGTGTCCTGTAAGTAGACCCTGCTAGGCGTTATCGTTCCATCACTCTCAATTCTGTAATATCGAAAGCTTTTGAAACCATCTAGGTGCCTTTCTCGAATACGACGGTTGGCTGATTGACCGTCAATGTGAATTTCACCCCCGTCGACCTACGGGTGACCTACTGGCTCTCGAATCACATTCCTGGTCATCTGCACTCGATAACCACGGAG